GGTCCTCTTCATGGCTGTTTTCCCACCATCACTGTCTGAAAAAAACTTGTTATTGAAAGAACTTTATCAATATACACATGAACATAATTTCTACAGATAGTGATCACATCCTAGAATTTGATGATGTTATATTTTCAGATGAAAGACCTATATAACTCGAAGGGAGATTATTGTTTTTGAAAGAAATATCCATACATCCATAAATGTTGAAGCTTATCATTATTAGTTAGAGATGGAGTACACAAACTTGCCATATTAATCTTAAGGCTTACAACAATCACATCTTTAGGACTGTATGAGCGTATCACTTTCTGAAGCTGAAAAATAATGTTTAGTTATGGTGAAAGAGAAGACACTGGACTTTTTGTCAGTTTTTGTTTAATGTGGATAGGTCCTGTTATTACAGAAATATTACCCTTAAACCCAGCCAACAAATCTGAACTCTCACAGTTGGACAACACCATAGAATTCTAACCTGTCCTCCAGCTATAGGGACTCTAGAATGTTGTGGTGCCATTTTGAGGACCACTGAAAATATATATTTATTTTGTTATGAATTGTTAATTACTATGGCAACAGCCCTAACCTTTCATCATTTTGAAACTCATAGATTGTCACTATGCAGCGAAATCAATGTTAAAACACTTAATGGGCGTGTGTTTGTGTTCAGGCATCGCTTTGGAGGGTTACGCCACACTGACTGCTTTCTGGAGGACAACGGGACCTCAATTGTGGGCCATTAGTTCTTGGCCGGGCTCAGTCATGCAGAGTGCGTTTGTACACGGGGGACGTGGGGGTGAGCAGCAGTATCAGTGTACCATACCTGTGTGACTGCTTCAACCACTGACCCTCATGACCCCTCCACAACCCTGGTGAGCGCACAAACTGCACACCTTACCTGAACGTTACCTCTTCAAATGAGTCATAGTCATTTACCTGTGCGCACTGCCCCACCATAAAACAATACTATCACATATAAAGAGCTGTAAAAGTGAATCCAAACAAATCTGTAAAGATGGTAAAATAGTTTGTAGCTCTATTACAGTTCACTTATGTTCAAGGTGTGGACAGATTAGCTTGGTTTTGATCACTTGAAGTTGACTCCAGTTGCTTCCTCTTGCACAGTGTTGGTGGACATTTGCTATAGCTGACAATGAGGAATGGCACTGGTTTCTTTACATCTTTGATACCATAAAAAAAATTAAAATAAAAAAAACAATTTAACTTTTTAAAGATAAAATCCATAAAAAAATAAAATAAATAAAAATTTCCATTTCCACTTCTCACATTTAAAACTAATCTAATTGAGCAACTGACTACCCTCACACTTATTCATATATTTATAATGAAACCTCACTGGCAATACTTAAAAGTAGGTAAAGGAATTATTAAGCAAATAGTGGTGATGTAGTAGAAACAGGTGAGGGTCAGAAAAGGTCATTTTTAGAGCTTCCACTGCCCCCTTGTGGTCAAATCTAGACTTTATAAATAAATGCTCTGAGTATTTTCCATGCCTTTCTTTAAAATTTTCCTTTTTCTCTTGACCTTATGTCAAAATATCTGCACTATTATACACATGACTCATGTTTAGCTGACAGTGGATATTTGTGTTGTGCAGTGAGCCAGTGCCATAGCTCCCCTGAAGCCAGTCACCGAAGTCCTTCTCATAAAGAGTTGACCTGTTTTATGGCCTTATTGCCCAACATCACATGCCTTTAGTCCCGGGATATGATCTCAGATAAGGCAAGAAAGCACCGAAATGCTCTTCCTGTTCCTCACAGCTATTCATTCAGGTAGTGATGAGTGTAAGGCTCATATCAAAATCACAAAGATAGCTTGCAGATTTTGAGACATTCTAAAAATAAAATAATTCAATCATAAATTGAGATTTAAAACAATGATCTCTTCATTTCAAATAGCCAAATTGACCTCATTACACTGAAGTTTTATAAATCAAGTCTTTATGATAAGCTGATTACCTTATCCTTGACAACTGCGCTCAGGCATGGCAGTAAAGGCGGAGGATTATGAGGTGATGGTCCATAAAGGGTTTGGCTTAGATAAGACATTTTTTGTGCGGCTGGATTGGTGACTTCACGGGACCACCAACCAATGCAACCAAGATGAGATTATACTTACAAATGATACTTTTTTTCTTTTAAGAAGAGACATAATGCTGATGAATACAGAGAATAAATAAAACAGTATGTATGCTTCAGAAGTCGCTCCAGACAGGGCCATAAAATAATGCGGCCCATGAAAGGCTGCGGTCTTGATCTTTGACCTGCTTCTCACTTAGTCATGATGAAGGGTGTTTGAATATCTGGAAGGACTTCAAATATTTCAGCTATATTTACACTCTGTATTTCAAAATGACAAAACACTTCCACAAACAAAATCAATCTAAACTGTTCTGAAGTGCTTTGCTCAACAAAATTTGTCTATATCTTTATTATTATTATTTATTATTATTATATTATTATTATTCTTAGATGCATATTTTCCACCTCAAAACTAAATATCTACATAAAACATTTAGGAATAGTCACTTATGTAAAAATTTTAAAAAAGTAAATGATAAAAATGTACCCATTTGTCCTAATGCACTGATACTGTTTACTCGACTCAACCAACAGTCCTGGGGAAATGTCCCTTTCTAATGTCCACAATGGGTCATTAATGAAATTTATGGCTATGAGTGATACCACACCTGGGGTAAAACTACAGACGTCCCGCATAACAGAGCAAGACTTCACGCCAGTCGTCTATTCAAGAGAAACCATTAGAACAAACTGCTCCTGGGTGCAGCAAAGCAAACCAGCCAAATCTTTATGCAGGGAAAGGCCTTGGGCTGCCCTGTGCAAGGACAAAATGTGTATTATGCAAACCTAATGTGGATAAAACGTATTAGCTAAAGGATTGTTTACAAATATTGTGAATGATAAATCCAACTAGTTTTACACCCAAAAAAATGTGTCTAAAAAGTGTTAGAGCAGTAGGTTTGCTTATGCATGCACACTGCGCTCTAGTGGTCTTTATTTGGAAGTGCCTGAAAAATTTGTGAATTAAGTTCTAACAGATGTGACACATAAACGAGAGTCTTGAATGTCTTAGCTATGTGTGATTTAAGAATTCACTTACATAATAATTTTATTGAAATTTCCTTTCAGATAAGACCGTAAACACTGAATATACAGTAAATACTGATATCTGTCAAGAAGGTATTAAGTAACCAGAGAGAAACAAGATAAACAAATCAGTTTTTCTTTTATAAGTTCATATATTTGTAAAACCTTCTATTTTTATATTTCAATTAAAGTAAAATACAGATTCTCTTGAGAAAGCCTTCAGTGTATAGTGGGATGAAATGAAAAGTGTTGCTGTTTTTTTCAATAGTTAAGAGTGCTTAGTGGGAAAGTGCTTTTAACCTTTTTGCACTGTTATTAGGATGCTGTGAGTAGGCTTTAATAGTCACACCACACTGCCACAGCACAAAGCACTTCTCTTTTGTCGAGTCTTAGGAAAGATATTAATATTTATATTTATATCGTCACTTTTATATTTTCGAAGGCCATGTTAGCTTGCTGTGCCACTTCGGTCTATTAGGTAAGCAATGCTATTTGTAGTCTTATCATGTATGTATTAAAGCACTGTCCCCTTTTTTGCCAACACCTAAGCATGAGTCATCGGTCTCCTTGTTATTCTGAAGTGAGGCCTTCATTCACTGAGTATTTTTAGCCAAGCCAAAGTGAATATGTGCAAATGAGTTCACTAACGCACAGTGCGAAATTTTGGTGCTGTATACCCTGATCAGGCACAGGCATAAATGAGGTAACTGAATGTTAATGTCATTTCTCTGCATTAGAGTGATAGGCAGCCAGTTATGATTTTGTGCTCAAATTGTGTTGGCCAGACAATCAGCAGCACATTTACAAAACTGTTTTAAAGTTGTTTGGGTGCCATGGTCTGCTGCTCAGTTTTATATTGAATCAAAATGTTTCAAAGGATGGACCACTCTGCCAATTTTACAAGAGGAGATCAAAGATTGGCCATATCTCATGAACTCAAACACTCTCAACACTAAATACAGAAATCTTATTTTGAAAGGTGTCACAAGGTTTTTCACAATAATTACCGTACTGTATTAACTTCAATAAATTATAGATGCAAACATTTTTGTTGTACATAGGTTTTGCACTAGTGAGGATTTTTAAATTTATAATTATTCGAGACTCACAAAGGGATGACAAAAGTCAATACAACAATGTATTGTACATTTAGAAGCGTTTAATGGGATTCTCCTGCCTCAGTCCCAAGTAGTTTCAATTATTTAATGTGATACTGTTTGTAGCAGTAACACTTAGAATTTTGTTATAATAGGCCTAGGAATCAAAACAGATTGCTATTAAAGGATTATTGTAACATAAAATAGAATAATTCTATGACTTACTGATGTATTAAAAAAGGTTCCTAAAACAAAAGCACTAGGACTAACATACATTCAATTTTAAACATAATGAGATGATCATATTGTGTATCTGACTATGACCTTGATCACTCTAAGGGGAGATGAGTTAAAACCTACAGAGAGATGAGAATACAAGCAGAGTATATTGAGGTAAAATAAGAGAAGTAGAATATTACTGAAAGGGCTCTGACGCACGGCTTTTGTGTGCACTGAAAGAACAGCAGGAAGCCAATCATTTCTGATTTGCATTTTTTTTTTCTAGAGTTGTGGCAGTGTCAGTAACCAGAAAACACAGGCTTTACAGTTAGAGTTATATAACATTTAGACTAGTGTCGGTACAGAGCAATGAACTATTGATGGATCTTGTTTCAGTTACTTTGACCTCAGTCTGTTGGTTTCCCATAAAATATGTATTGGTCAGTAATCTTTTAATGTCTTGAGTGGAGCTCTGTGATCTTTTCCAAGGACTTTAATTCACAGACCACGCTAAGAATAACCATACACTATTAATAAACACAAGGCAAAGCTGAGATAAGTCAACAAGTATTCTTTTTTATTTCATTGAGTTTATGGTTTTGGTTCTGTAGCAACCTACTGTATAACTCTAATGAAGTGCAATTGTACTCAAGCCAGTTATATTTTAGAGCAATGACAGGCACACATTTTGTGCAAATTTAACAGCATTTGAACGGCTCCTACACAAACACAGCAAAAATACATGCCAGAGGAACTAAATACTAAAACATTTACAAATCGACAATACTTCAGGAAGACGTCCCGCAAAAACAGATCAGTTACAGATCCACAACTAAACTATGGGGAGAACTAGAGCTACGTTTTACCCCGTGTGGTGGTCCAACTATAACTCTAAGCTACTACACCCACAACACTCAGCAACACGTTTACCAGTCTCCAGAAATTGTACAGTTAACTAATATAAATATTGACATGACAAAGAATGATCCCAAAATTAGTTTACAAGACATGAGGTCCACTTACAAGCAATTTGTCAATCTCATCTCAGAAGGCCTTTGTATTTTATGTCTGGCAGTCAACATTGGCATTGCAAAAAAAACACTGAGTTAATGCAACTAAGGCTATATCAGACAATAGATTGAAAGACACATTCATCAAAATATATTTTTCCGTAACTCCATAGCAACCACTAAAAATAACAGCTAATATAAACATAATTATTACATCCATGAACTGAAATGTCTATGAAATCAAAGCCCAAACATGCAGTTGGTTGAGACTGTTGAGCTGGGGTCTGTAGTTTATACTGTGTCTTATTACAGGCGTTGGTCTGAAGGAGCCATTTGTTTTCACAGTGAAACGTGTTAAAGGACTCTATGGATATTGGTTAGATGCGCCTGCCACACTCCTCATGTCAGGTGTGCTTAATTGCTTTTCTAGCTTACCACTCTTCCGCCTAAACTTATCATAATCACATGCATTGATTTTTTAAAATCTTTAAACTAAATATTGAAATTAACATTCTGCTCAATTAAGGAGTTTCTTTTCATGTCCACTAAAATCCTGGCATTGGTAAGATGAATGAAATGTTCTAACTAGTTCACTCAGTATACAATTTCACCATCTAACCCAAAAGAAAGGGCTTGGGGCTTAATTTCTATAGGAAAGCAGATGCACCTATACATTCCATGCTCTCCTTTTTATACAATCAAGGGCCATCATTTTTTCCACAACTTAAAATTTAACAGCAATAACAAAAACTACTTCAGTTGCATCCAAATGGCAACTATTAAAAAGTAAACTTACTGTAACATACATATTTAATAGTGTATAGTCCATGCAACTGCGCACGGCTGGTTTGCATTGTTATGGTATGTCATTATCAGTGTATGAGAGACATCAGCCACCAGTGCATTTTGATTATGGGTACTCCTTCATAATCTTGCAAAAGCTCTCACCCAGATTTGAAAAGCAAAATAGCCACTTGGCCCAGGTAAAAGTAAATGAAATGCTTTGTCTCGTGAGTCACATAGCTGCCGAAGTTTCTCCCGACAATGCAGTGCCATGTTGGGTTATACTTCTTGTCGAATTCCTGCAACAAAATGAGAAAAAACATATGGGTTACTTATTTAAAAGCGAAAGTGTTGGAGATCCCACTAATGTGCTCAACGCTTATGAGCACATGCAGTCTAGAAGGAGATATAAAATTCCCCCCAAGTATAGAAACTTGCTTGTACCTCAGTTTATTAAACTAATTACTAACATGGACTATGCAGGATTTGTCAAGCGTGATTGTCTTGTACATAAATTTCCTTCAGGATCAACAAAGTAAAGCTAATCTATTACGTGGTATATACATGTCTTTTTGAAATCTCATGTCATGATAAATTCTTATTTATGTGGCAAAACTGACTTAATGTGTACTGTCTTTTTGTATCTTAATTTGAATAGTTAGGCTGTAACATAGAATATTTCAGAGGGGAAATACTGTGAGCATGGTGTTTCAAAACATTTTAGCAGTCTGTCCTCACCACAGACTGATGCCAAAAATAGATAACTTTAAAAATGAATACAAGAAAGGCGCCAGTAGAATTTGCATTTCATGGCCTGCCTGCGTCCAGCTGAAATAGCCAATAATGTGCCTCACCTTTTTGATGTACGCTGCAATGTCCTTCTCTATGTTGTACTTCTCCATGGCCTGGGTGGCACAGTCCACGGCGTCCTGCTGCATATCTTCGGACATGTCAGCGTTTTTGATCACAGCTTTCCTGTCAGTCATGTTGAAGACGATGGTGGGAGCTGGTAATGACAAGAGAGAGTGCTGAAAATTAACACTACACGTGGAGGGGATGAGGGGGTGTAGGCCGAATGGTTGACAGCGGCACTCGAGCGACCATCTGTGCGCCTGCCCTGTGTAGGCTGTGGTCCCTTTGTGCAACAATTACATCTTAAAGTCAAGGCAATTTAGGCCCCGTTGAGACACGACTTGAAATGCAAATAAATTGGCAGGGTAAGTTGATACAGGTGGAGTTAAATTACCTGGCAAAATCACTTTCCAATAAAAGCAGCCACTGCGTTAGAAAAACGTCTGGCGATGTCGTTTTATGAATGAGCCCTGTATTGATCCAATGACAAATGTGTTGTTTATTTAATATTAATGCGAAGCTAGACGTGAATAGCTACAAACTGAATGAAAGACAACAAACTAGAGTAATACAAGACAAGATGAAGTCGAAGCCAAATGTGTCAAACCATGCAAGTTGGTGTCGTCTTCTTATTAATCCGCCCACTCACCTATTGGAACGCTGTCGTGCGCTTCAGTCAAAAATGTGCAATTTCAGTCTTGCTCGGGGAAGCTTTGATAATGCTGTCTGTAATTGCTTTTTAAAGATTTACACAATAAGCATGTAGGTTGTCTCCGCTGCGCTCAAACTGCTCCCCGCCCTCTGCTGCATGCTGAACCCTGCTATTGGCTGAACCGCAGTCTCCTAGTGCGGTTCAAGCCTTTTCTGCTGCTCCTCTCTGCCGGCATCTTATTTCATCCCACAATGCATCATTCACGGCGTGCACCACCGACTGGGAAAAGGGGAGACTGAATCTTTGTAGATGCTGCTGTTGCGTATACAACGAGGCTTTGAAAATATAATGGATACTTAATTGATGCGTTTTATGTATTACAAAGACTTCATTCCCTTCAGTGAGCAGATGTAAATGTTCATAATGTTAAAATCAAGTATGAGACAAATGTAATATTTAATACTTTTATTAAAAATGCTGAGAAAAAAGTCAAACAAAATTAAGATACAAACTAGTCCCAAATAAACCAGTTCCCAACCAACCCAAATTTATTATTTTCATACCAGGCATCTACGACTCCATCCTTTGATCCAACTTCCTGGTCCTCTGTTTCGTTTTCTTCTAATATAAAGCCATTAATCTTTGAAACTTTTAGATGGGTCTAATGTTCAGGGAATCCATTATTTTGTTCTGAATCAACTGATTTGAATCCTGGAAAACTGATCCCGATCCGTGCATCCATCCTTGCCCTTGCATCCTATCCCTTTCCTAATCGATCCACTCATCCAGCTCCAAGGATTGGGATCCACTGAGCTCCTCCAATCAAAACCTTGAAATACCAGGAAGAAAATCAGAGGCATACTGTTAGAATGGTGCGAATAGTGGGCCCTAACCTTCCATGTTGAGCACTTAAAAGCTAAAGCTATATAATATTTAGTGACATTGAACATTTTACATTTGAGAACAGGTCAAAAGTGGAAAGCTTTTGAACAGAAGTTCAGATATTACATATTATGACATCAAAGATGTTACACTTACATCACAACACACTTGTTCTAGGACTGCTTATTCTGTCAAAGGCCAGAGTAGCAAGTATCATATTTAACAAGTACAGCACATATGGCTTGCGTAAGTATGACATGCATGATAACAAACCTATTAAAGCATTTGATTTATGAATGAAGCGTACCATTGCTTTGACCTGATTGCTCCTCAATTAGATGTCCTATCCTGACCATACAAATGAAATGTGCTCCACAATGGTTTATTCCAAATCACTTTAATCCTTCTCTGCAGATGTCTAAAGGAAGACACAAGGGTAAAATACAGTTAAGCACTGGGCTTCCCACCAACATGACCCACCCCAATAATGAGGCATTCAAATAAAAAAAAAAACAACACAACTCAATTTCAAACACTTGCAAAAACATTGAGTGCAGCTTATTTTGACTCAACATTTTTGAAGTCAAACAGCACAAATTTTCATGTTCAAAAAACTGAAAACAGAAAAAGGGGGAAACTTGGATGAAAGTAAAAAGACTGAGGGGTAAGAAAAGGTGAAAGAGGAGAGGAGATAGTTGTAGACCAAAGATTATCCACAACACTGGGACATAAAATGTAAAAAATTAAAAGGGTAAAAACAGGGGGTGCAACACCAAGGGAAAAAACAGTGGTAGGTTTAGGAACGGGAGCGAGAGCGGCTGTGGCGTGGCGAGTAGCGGGGTGATCCTCTGCCGCGGCCCCGGGAATTGCTTCGACTGCGGCTGGCGCTGCGACTGCGGCTTCTGCTGCGACTTCCGCGGCTGCGAGAGCGAGACCTCCCATAACTGGGGCTGCGAGGGCCGTCTAGTTTCACACGAATGTACGCAGTCTCTCCCTGGCACAACACACAAGAGAACTTGACATTGAAAAGCCAACATTCACTGCTTTTATGGAAATGCCATCACTGAACAGGGCCAAGAGAGCAAACACCTGTTGCATTCTCTCCAAGTACTCACCAAAACAGCAAAGAAACTGTTTCCATGACAATTGATCAAATCAGTGAACATACCTCGTGTGAGCGGAATTTGGTGTTGTCCAGCTTTCGCACAGCATAGGTCATGTCTTCTTTGCGCACAAATTCTACCACTCCAGTGCCATCTCTGTAAACATCAGCATAGCACACATCTCCTGCTTCACGCATGTGGTCCTTCAGATCCTGCCAGCTGCCACTCTGTGGAAGCCCTAAATTAAAAAAAAAAAAAAAAAAAAAAAAAAAAAAAAGATTGCATTTTCTTAGAGGCAGAAGATATCAACCACATACATCTGAAGGTCAATTTTATGTCCACAAAAGTGACAAAAGCTCTTGAAGGTTCATAATGCTCAGACTTTCTTGCATTAGAATTATTGAACTTGGTCTATGCTTTGATAATCTTCATTAAATGGTCTTGCTTACCAGACACGACCACCCTGTATTCAGAGCGCCGGGATGGCGGACCGTATCTGCCTCTCGGAGCGCCACCACCACCGATACCCCCAAAACCCCCACCTCCTCCTCCACCCCCTCTGGAGCCTCTGCCGCTACGAGGAAACTCCACACGCAGTCTGTATCCGTCGTAGTCATAGCCGTCGCGACCATACACCGCATCGTCCGCGTCCCTGAAACACAATGAATGCAATAAATACACATTATTACTAGATACAGAGTTAAGTCCGCCAGGCCTTTTATTTACGGCAAAGCTTAACAGCCGAGGCGCTTGACGGGGCAGAGCTAAAGGTAGAGGGGCAAATCGATACTACAAACCAAAGAGTGTTATGTAAACTGAAAACATGCTCATAATGCTTCAAAGTGCAATCGGCAAATCTTAAAGCAAGTGAAACACAACATGTGTGCAAATTGTGATTTAGTATCGGTGCACTTAAGATTGGGGTCCAGTTGTAGCATAGCAAACAAAGGCAAAATACCCTGATGGGACCGGGAACTAGCTAATTGCTAACTACAAGCCAATTCTTAAACGCGCTTACCTTGGGTCCTCAAACTCAATAAAAGCAAAGGGAGGGCCTCCTCTTCGGTTTTTGAGGTCAATGTCTCGTATCGTCCCATACTTATAAAACACATCCTCCACGTCTTTTGTGCGAATATCAGGAGGAAGATTCCCCACGTATATTCTGCAGTCGTTGTTTCCAGCGGGCCCTCGTACAACACCAGACATTTTGGCTAAAGATTAGCGTGCTACTAAAGATAAACTCTCGGCCGGCTAAACCAACAAATAACGGAAAGAAAACCTGTGCTTTTCCAAAAGCCCGATGAAATGGTGGGCCAACAGAACGACAATAAACGGATTAACTTGCTAAGTAAAAAGCTTCCGATTTGTGAAAGATTTTCGACGCTGTTTTCAGCCGCCACCTCCGCGATCCCACCGATGTGCACCGGAAACACTGTAGCCGCCGCTACATCCGCCAAACAAAATAGTGCCGTCTTGATCTATGATACGTGAAGTTTTATAGAGTCGGAAAATATGTTTATCTAATTAGCAGTTCAAGATGTAAATTAGGCTAGATCAGGTAGCTTTAAAAATAAAATGTCATTTTTTGAAAAAAAAAAAAAAAATAAAAATCATAAAATTTAATTTTATGAAAACACAAAAAAGTCCGGTGCAGGACCGTTTGCAAGTGAAAAAAAAAAAAAAAAACTGACATTCTTAAACAGTCATTTAAGAAAATAAAAGGTGTTGTCATGTAGCCTATTTTTAGGCTACTTTTAAATCATTAGATATCAGAAATGATTGAATTTGATAGTTTTTGCTTCTTAATATAAATAATCATAATCTCTTCAATTAATAGGTCAGCACAGTAGGTGTCCAGCCCAGCAAGTAATTCATCCACTTATGTCTCAAACAACAGTTTTAAAGATTGGCTGATCCATACAATTTGTAAAATGTTTTGGAATGATCATGCAATAAAAAAAAAAAAAAAAAAAAAAAAATATAAATATATATATATATATATATATATATATATATATAGATAGATAGATAGATAGATAGATAGATATTTTTTTTAACAAAAGACCCCAAAGCTTTGGACACAGGTTTGATGTTTATTAATCACAGATTTTACTGATTTTCCAACTCAAAACATATTAATGTTTTAATTCATTGAGGCAGATTGCAAGACTTATATTTTCCAGCTGTTAACATGGGAACTGATGCACCAGAATACACAATACAGAAAGCATGTACGAAGCACTTGCAGTATTCAGTATGCATACATGGAACCATACATCTGTTGCCCAGATTCAGCGTGGCTATCAGTGTACTTGCCCTGACATGCAAGGCTGTTAATCTGTGAATAGATGAGAAGTTTAAACAAAAGGTACATAGCACATAAAGTAATTCTGATTTGTTGACATTGACCTCTGCTCTTCTAATGAACTGTTCAGTGGCAACTTTTTCATTCTCTTTGTGCCCTCTCCAGGCTCTAAGTGCTGATGCCTGAAGGGCGCGCCCAAAAGAGAAGGTCAGAATCCAGGGTTTGGGCAGAGGGCAGTTGTTGATGGCATTGAGGTGAACTGATGCCTCCTCCTCACCCTGACCACCAGAGAGAAAAGCCACCCCTGCAGGTAAGAAAAATAAATATTTGTTAGTTTAATTTAGTTTATTGTATGTCAGTATGTGTAAGTGGTTTTGTAGTGTAGACTTCCCTGTGACTGCCGGGGGGACAGTGCGCCTGATTGCAGTCAGTGTAGCCATGGCGACCTCCTCTGGGCTGTACTTGGTGAGGCAGCTGTGACCAGGGGTGACCATGTTGGGTTTAAGCAAAGTGCCCTCCAGATAAACATGGTGCTCTGACATGGCTTTGTAGACTGCTGCCAGAACCTAAACTCCACAAAGACAAAAATAACTACTAAAACAACATACTACTCCTACAAACAAACAAATAAACCAACAAACAGGCCTACCTTTTCAGTGACAGCCTGGCAACGTTTGAGATCATGATCCCCATCTGGCAAAAGCTCAGGCTCAATTACGGGCACAATACCTTGCTAGTGAAAGCAAAAATGTTTAATTTTACTAGTGTTACTTACAATAAAAACATTGAGAACAAGAGCATTTTCCCATTAAGTCTGACCTGCTGACAAATACTGGAATAGCGTGCAAGTACATTGGCATTCTCTGAGATAGCCAGTTGGGAAGGATTGGTGTCACTGATCTTAAGCACACAACGCCACTTTGCAAAAACAGCCCCATCTTTTTTATATTGCGCACAACGCTCCGATAACCCATCCAGACCTGCAAAAAATCTGTCTTATATTATCTTGAAATGATTCAGCTAAAATATTTTTAGTACTTCACCTTGGGTAGTAGTTTCCCCACAAGTTCCTGGTAAAGGAACAACACCCTTGTCAACCTATGTGAGAGAGGCAATAATTTAAGCCACACAATGTAAGTTTGTGGGTAGAGGGTCTGGAATGTTTCACAAAATGGCATAAAACATATTTTCCCCATGGAGGCAAGCAAGTGACTCCATCAAACCAAGTATTTTTGGCACTAAAACATTCAGTACACTCACCTTGACGCCAATCATGATTCCTCTATCTCTGATCATTTTGACAAAGGACACACCACTGTCTGAGTACTGATAAAGAGTCTCATGAAAAAAGATCACTCCTCCAATGCAAGTGTTAATGCGATCGTCAGCACTGAACAAAATCTGCCTAAATTGCCTGCGATTCTCCTCACTGTTCTCCACTCCAACCTGAGCCAGCCTTTTGCCCATACTCCCTGCAAAGAATAAGGATGCAACAATGAGACCTGCCCAGCTGTAAAACAACTGCTACATTTGTAAGTTACATTTGTAGTAGTAGTTACTCACCAACGGACTCATCTGCAGCCAGGATGCCCTTCCCTGGAGAAACGATGCGTAGAGCTGTTTCATGTAGTTCCTTCTTTTGAGCTTCTGAGAGTGTTGGTGGCATCCTGACTTACTGACTGTAAAAAAAGTTCTGGTTAAGCATAATATTAAACAATATTTAATAATAATAAATAATTAAACATAACATCAAACAGTTAAAAAGAGTAGCTAAACAATTCACCACAATCTTATAGCCTAATGAACCAATTTAAACGTGAAAAGTTAACGTGAGAAAGGTTTTACCTGAGAAAATTAAATCAGTTATAAATGTCTAGATCTGTGACAGCACTGGCAGCAGTTCTCTGTTGGCTTGAGTTTGTATTGAGCTGAAGTATGTCACCTACTGTACGCCCACACCTCTAGGCGGGACTTCTACGCCCACTTTTGCCCCAAATAAACATAAATACTAAAAATGTATATACTGATAAATGACTGTTAATATATATTTTTTTAATTATATAGCCTATTTGAACTCCTAAATTATTTTCCACATTAGCAGTTATTATTGACTTCAGCTTGCTCCACATTTAGGCTATGAATAAACTACATGGTCTATTTATATATGATGAAATACCCAAAGTTTTGGCTATTATTGTAATATTAATACTATTTATAAGTTGTTGGTATTTTTACTTAGTTTTTCTGTAAACCACATTTTAAATCGATCCATGGCATCCAGGACCAGTAATGAATTTGTATATAAGCAACCTAGTTTAGATCCCCATCTCTATCATACTGCACCTTATCATGAGCTATTTCTATTTTAATTAGGAAAAGCATGCCTTGAGGAAATGTTCAGTCTCCCGATAATTTGATCCTCGCCCTTGAATTCTCTGGGGTCTTCACGTCTCAGAGCAATTTATGCACTTAGCTTGTGAACTTTAATCTGTGAAGACTGCAATTAGACAAGTTCAAAAAAGCCCTCTCTTTTTGTATAAATAGTAAATTGTCAAATTAAATAAGATCATTGTTATGTAGTATGATTATGTAATGATCTGGATATTTACTATATTCCGATGAGGTGTCTAATGGACTGTACCTGGATTCTAGGTAAGATACATGAACATTTTCTAAAGTAAGTTTTCAAAAACTCAATGGCCTACTTTTATTGAAAGACACTTATTTGAACATGTATTAATACTATTCACCAACAGGACAGAATCAAACTTTTCCTGAATAGTTTTAGAATGGTTTTAAGATAATTTTGTGTTGAAAATCTTTTGAATTATTACCATTATCATTGTATCAATATCTTTCCTTGGTATCTAAATCAAGTTTGAGTTTTTGGTAACACTAGTCCCAGCAGCCATGTTGTAATTGTGTACATACTGTGGGGTAGCTAGGCCAGTCTATAGTAAAGGCTATTAAAGGAGAAGACTTGAGAAGACTTCTTTCTTGAATTGTAGGTCAGTGTGTCTGTGAATGAGATGTGGGTCAATGGACTGTCTGCCATGAGCCACAACACAGACATGGACCTATCAAAGACAAGGGCCTGAGAGGAGGTAATGTCATTTGGTAGAGGCAGGGGAGCTACCATTTAAATATAGGCTACTTTAAGGAGTACAGCAATTATATGTGACTGCCTCTGCTGGGACCTTGGCAATTCCTCTGTTACCCAATTAAAATGTTTAATAACACTAGTCCTCGATTTTCTGTCCTATTAAGGCCATCCTCAATAGGAGTGTGCCTCTAAATGGGTCATATCAAGACAGTGCAGCAGAAAATGTATAGCTTGAAATTTTATGTTGCTTTATAAATATTGGGAGAAAAAAGTTACATCATAGTGAGGGGTTTGGGGAAGGGGATATAAAATAGGATTTTCATTGAAATTATTTATAAGATGAAATTGGTAAATTTTGGACATTTTATAAAATATTCAAACTTTTCACAGAGACCAAAACAATACAAATCTTAATATAGTATTTGGCTTTACATGCTACTTTTTTTTTTTTTTTTTTTTTTTACATAATTTTACGTATACCCAGAGTTAAGAACTAAAGGGCCACATCCTTGTTGGCTAAAGATGAAGGTCCTTGAGAAAGATATGTGGGCGAGTGGACTTTGTCACAGTCAAAGTTTTTTAAATAGTCCACTGTAATGCCTCGCATTGCTTTAGCCGCCCAGTCCGGGTGAGTCCTGAGTTTAAGGATGACCTCATTTGGAGTCTTCTGCAGAATTTCAGAGTCAAATGAAGTGCCCCTGAAGAAAGCCAGCATTTGGAAAGAGTCCAGATTACGCAGGCGATTCACAGGATTTTTGGATAGAAGCTGTAAGACACAGAAACACTATTATACTCACTACTGTTGTATGTGTAAAATGAGGAGAGTGGTAGTCACATGCACACACCTCAGTGAGTAGTACAGTAAGAGCAGTACTGCATGTACTGGGGATGACATAAGGGCATTGTCTGACCTTGTTCAACATGTCAATGTGGCCTGACTCTGGAGGAACTGGAAACTAACAACATAATCTAAATCAAGACTAGTTTATGACATTTAATTGTCAACAGAATCTACAAGTACCAAACAAGGACCC